AAAGGAAAAAAAAGAAAAGGAGGAAAAGAATTTCCCTGGGATTTAAAAAAAAAGCAAGCTCGATTTTAAAAGGTTAAAATTATTTCGAGAGCTCTGAAAATTCCACTAAAAATCTTGTTAGTGAATTTCGACATGTAGAACTCAAGAAAAATTCCACATGCCAATTCCGATTATTATTTGCATTGATTTAATAGGGTTTACTCTTGCTTTGCACCGGTGTTTTTTTTTAGAGTCTCTTATTAATTCAATTTTAGGCTTAGGAGGAGAACTTCAGGGTGTGACAAGAGTAGACTAGAGTCCATATAAAAATATAATTTATAAATAACTGAAATTCAGAATTAAAAATAAAGAAATTAGAAGAAGAGTATAAAGTCCATATAGAAATACAATTAAGAAATAATAGAAATTCGGAATTAAAAATGAGAAATATTAGAAGTAGAGTATAGAGCCCATATAGAAATACAACTAAGGAATAATAGAAATTCGGAATTAAAAATAAGGAATATTAGAAGTAGAGTATAGAGTCCATATAGGAATTAAAAACTAACTAGAATTCATAATAAACATAATAAAATTAAAACTAGAGTTTAGAGTCCGTATAAAAAAAATACAGTTTACAAATAACTAAAATTCGAAATTTTAAATAAAACATAGGAAGAAGAGTCTAAAGTCAATATAGGAATATAATTTAGAAGTAAGTGAAATTCGAAATTAAAAATTAAAGAAATTAAAAGATGAGTTTAGAGTCCACATAGAAATAGAATTATAAATAATAAAAATACAGAATTTAAAATAAATAATATTGGAAGAAGAGCTTAGAGTCTATATAGAAATACAATTTACAGATAACGAAAATTCAGAAATTAAAAAAAATATTGAAAGACGAGTCTAGAGTCCATATAAGAATATGATATAAAAATAACTAAAATTTGATATTATAAATAATTAATAAGTAACACGTATATAAAATACAATATGAATATTACACATTAGTAGTTCATAAAGTTAGTACAAAATTTAAAATTATGGTGTCATTTTAATATGTTCGAATAATACATTAAGAAAACATATATGCTATTATATGAGAGTAAATATAATGATGATAGCCGCGCAATCTGCGCGGGCCAGAATGCTAGTTGTATATAAAATTAAGGCAGGACAAAGCTTTTTGTGCTTGTTCGAAGGTGGTTGCCCATGCATAACTTAAACTCGTTCAAATAATATAAGTCTTGCATTTTTTTAGTTGAATTTTTTGTCAAAATTCGTTGGAAAATTGTAGATGAAATTAAGGCAGGGAGAGAAAGCTTTTTGTGCTTGTTTGAAGGTTGTCAACTTGGACTTTAAATCTTAAAACTGAGATCACTCTGCCACTTGACATTGATGCAGTAATAATCTGATCTATATTCGGATGATTAATTGCATTAATTGGTAGAAATAATTTATTCATCATGACATTTACGTGATCTATTAATTGATGCGATTGAAATTCCCAAAATAAACCGATTTACATGGGAATAGCTGGTGATATCAAACCTTGAAATTCCCAAAATAAACCGATTTATTTGGGAATAGCTGGTGATATCAAACCTTGAAATTCCCAAAATAAACCGATTTACTTGGCAATAGCTGGTGATATCAAACCAGTAGGGCGGGGTCGGCCCACCGGCCAGCTAAGTGCTGCTTGGGCAGAGGGCATTTGCCAAATAAAATAATCGGGACTGTTACAAGGTGCTAACAAATCATGTGCCTGATTTCTTTTTGGTAAAAATTGGATGCAATTTCACCAAGTAGATCGGAATTGTTACACTAAGTATATCGAAAATGTTTTATTATTTTAAAAAAGCTGATACACAACCAAATCACCTCGTGAAACATTTTGCTACAACGTATGAAACAACGGTTCCAAACAAATCAGGCGTTGTTTTACCTTATATAAAAACAATGTTTCAATAATTAGCGAAATAATGTTTCAAATCACTGCAATATTTGATCCATACATAATGAAACATCACGAGTATACTTACTGAAACACTATTGGTAGAAAACAAATGAAACGGATTCCCTTAATAAAGCGTTCTATAATATGCAGGTGATTTGTTGCAACGACGTGTATGGTGGGGCGCGTGGAGGGACTGCGCGGAGGCGTGGGAGGGGCGGGATCGCGCAGCGGACGCGTAGGAGGCGGCGGGTGCCCTATTTTTCTCCCTTTGATCGGGCGCCCAATCGCTGGCATTTTCCGGACGGTTACAACGCTCATACTATCTCTTTTCGTTTTCCTTTTCCCTAGTGCCACGCGTGGCTGATTCGGACCAATAAACAGCTGGCAGAAGAGCCAACATTAGATATATTTTGACTGATTGATTTTTTTTATCAAATTTCTTTAGATTTAACCAAATTAATAAAAAAAATTAGCAACATCTACAATACGAAAATAGTTTCATTAAATCTAACATCAAATATATTTTGATAATATGTTTGTTTTGTATTGAAAATATTAGTATTTTTTTCAAACTTGGTTAAATTTAAAGAAATTTGAGTAAGAAAAAGTCAAACGACTTATAATATAAAACAGAGGGAGTATATGAAAATAATATTATAATAACAAATATCAAATATTTCATTATAGGTAGATAAAATCATTCTTTTTAAATTAATAATACCAACTAACTCTATAATCAGTGGATTTATATATTATCATAATGCGTGACACGGTTTCAAGAAAAATGTTGAAAATGCAAGACTTTTCCTTAGAAAATTTGTTGTAATTTTAAACATAATTAATAAAATAAGGGTATGTGATTATAATCAAACCGTTATATTTCTTTCTGCACGCACACTGTGTAGCATGTGTGTCCTATTTAGAATTAGTTTACAACACATAAATTCCAAAATCATATTTTTTTTACTGTAAATTTTTTTATGGATTTTGTTTATTTTTTCCTCCTTAGTCATTACATTCGGCAGTCTTCCTGTTTAGCTGCCTGTTCTGTGGCAGTACCACAAACACACGACGCAGTTGGGAAGGAAGTGAAATTTCCTTTCAAAGTAGCATATACTTGTACTCGCTACTGTGTCAGTTGGGAAGCTTCTAGCATATGCTAGATGTGTTGCTCAAAACTTTCTTTTCTTAGGATTTTTTTCTCTCATATAATTCCTAAATTTATCTCAAAGATTAATACTGCCACTTGGCCCAAGCGGCTGGCAGTGTGCGCCAGCTTTAAAAGTACTTATTTATTGACTGATCTGCAGAAGCAGAAAGGTGATCAAACTTAAAAAGTCGAGACAATGTACAATGCCCATTTTCCGGTATTTTGTCGAAGCTCAAATTCTCATATGTATTTCCTCGGTTTCATAAAAAATAAATATAGGAAGGAATATGATAGATTATTCGTAGTACTGTGATGTGTCATATCTTGTTTTATGTTTGGTTTTTATAGGACGGATATGAAGTACTTGGATTGATGAGCTACAAAAGAAAACTAGTTTTTTCAGTTTTTTCCTTCCCCACGTGACAATTGAACACTTCAAACGCTTCACTGTCAGGTAGTAATACACTACATCTGAATAGGTCAACTTACAGTAGATCAAAACTAAGGTCACGAACGAAGAAAGACCACAATAGCGACGCAATAGTCCAGCAGTCACTTCCAGCCTTCCAGGGATCAATATCCCGTGAAGAATTAATAAACTACAGGGAAATCTCGCGAGGTCGGGCAAAATCTTGTTGAGAGAAGTTGATTTTTTTAATCAGATTTTATTTGAACTTGAAGCAGTTTGAACAAAATTTAATAAAATTTAGAGAAATTATATTGTATTGAACTCGAAATTTTCAGCCAGGATTATAATATATAGCGATGGCTCGAGAGCGAAATTTCGTTGAGAAATTAATTAATCCCTGGTCACATCACATAACACAACCGTGGGAGGAAGTCATCACAATTGGGACCATGATAGCACTCCAGGTGAGTACATTTCGTTAATTGAAGTTTTCAAAGGTAAGTGTAGCTATAATTTTCTATCACATGTTTGAATTGAGGAGGGATGCAAAGTTAGGTGCAGTATTGGCCTGTGTCATTTGCTCATAACTAGATGATACCCCACGCATAGCTGCGGGACTTCTTGTTTCTAAAAAAATATTATCCACGCTAAGAATGCTAAAAACAAAATTAATAATGAGAGCAAACTCAAACATATGAAGAAAGTTCAAAGTTGTAGGATAAAAACATGTACTCATGAAAAAAGAGCAAGATTACATTTACAAATTGACATGTGCACCTCTTACAGCTCGCAGAGTTAATTAATATGGATAGGACTACTATATAAACTCAAAAGCACTCAGGAAAGCATGGCCAAATATGTTTTCAATGTACAATGAGTTCAGCAAGAATGAAACTGCTTATTATCTTCACTTTTTAAACGTACACGCTGATATGTTTTTAGGAGCAGTCTTACTTGATTAAGTACCAAGCATCTTCATAAGATCAGACTTCCCCTAGCAAACAACATGATCAATGGAGCCACGATGTATTAGGCTGCACAAACCCGACCTATATAGGACGTGGCATTGCAAAATGGCATGAAAATAGATAAAAAAAAATACATGCAAATTCTAATATTGAGGCAAGGAAAGCATTATATGGTTTAAAAAATTATTGTATTCAAATTACATTTTAGCAAAAGGAAGTGAAATTCAGTATTCAAATCCACTGAAACATCCATTTAACTCATACTGCAGTATTGCACACTTCATCAGCTGAACAGATGAAAATATCCATCGGCTGAACAGATGAAAATATCCTGGTAGAGCTTATATCTCTTCGATGAACCCAAAAAAATATGCAATCTTTGATGCATAAAATCAGTAAGGTAAAGGGCCAATCCACATAGCATAATACATGTTCTTTCTCATAAGGTATTCATCAAGAACAATAACCATGCTCAGTGAATGATGGTAAGAAAATTCTGAGAAAATAGAAATCGATTAAAAGAAGTTCTGAACATGCCAAATATCAAATATATAACAGTGCGCTGTTGCAAATGGTTATCAGTTGCAGTCTTTCTTATGCTTGATCAAATCACTTGATGTTATTATATCATTACGATGAAAAGGAATGATATTGAGCTGAAAGAAATGGAAGATAGAGCAAATCCTTGAATCTTCTGAAAGCAACGTTATAATATTCTTTAGTGACGAACAAATGAAATAGGAAGGTAGAGAGATAGTGGTAGCATATAAGGGGAGGCCAAACTTCCTCGAGGAACCATCCAGGTAGAAGGTATCTTTGAGCACCTCAGCTTACGGAGTATACTAAATCTTCCAAACAAACCCCTGGCTTTCTGTTTAGGGGAAAAGAGAGAAAGATTAAGCTGGAGTGAGAGGACAATGGCTAGCAAGTGATAACAAGAATGAATGGATGAGAAATATAAAAGATAATATCGGCTTACCTGTAGTGAGAGGACAATGTCACTGCTGTCCAGCTGGTGCAGATTCATACTTTTGGACAATAAGTTGATCTAGGGCAAGCAGCAGAAGCTCTAAAATGGATCAGTAGTTGTCGAGGCAAGAAGACAACGATTTCAACCATCAGAATAAAAAAGGGCAGCCTCAAACTCCACTCCTGACTTGGCCATGTCCAAAATCAATGTATAAAGGAAAATGGTACACATCGGCCTTCTTTTTGCGGATTGAAGATCAACAGGAGTAGCGCAACATACAGAAGAAGCTGTAGATACGGAATCACCAACTACCATTCTATACATATGAAATAGGTGGCGAGTGCTAGTAGGGATCGTAGTTACATCTTTGTCATGCTCCATGTAAAATCCAGGCTTCAGTTCTATCTTCTTGTCTCCATCAGACTGCAAGATGATTGTTATGTGTGTTAGTCTGTCCCAGGAATGCAGCACTGAACATGGGTTCAGAAATTTTATTACTTACTGGCCCGCCAAGATACTGAAATCCAGCCAGCTCCAGCTCCTTCAGAATCCCGTCCTCTCCAATCACATAAACCTGAACAATTAAAATGTTAAACATGCACACATTATTTGCCAAAATCGCTGAACATGAACAGTATAAATGGTAACGTTGTGCACGTATCTTCGTACCAAAACATGTTAACTTCTGAAGATGGTGATATAAATTAGATACTCCTACCTTCTTGTCTTTGGGGAAATCGATGGACTGCAGGTACGCCACATATGCGAACGACGAAGCGAAGATCTCTTCCTGCATAGAGCGTTCCAGGCTCATCAGACCAGATTGGTTGCACAAAGAAAATTTGGTAGTTCATGGCATGAATCCTACCTCATTGACGTTTAGTCCTAGCGTCTCAAACTTCTTCCCGTACTGCTTCCTCGACTTGGTCGAGTTGTTCGTCACGAATACCAGCCTCTTGCCCTGCAACACCACAACCCCATCAGCTTCAACTCCAACAGATTGATAATGCTAAGTTGGAATCGGAGTTCGAGAAGACCATTGCAGTTTGCGACGGACCTTTGATCTAGCATGTCGAGCGTCTCTAGCACTCCGTCGATCAGCTTCTCGCCCTTCCAAATCACACCTACGCTGCTACGCAACAAAAAGAACGCGACAATTCATAACAAAATCACAACCAATCAACCATCGAGCGACCAGCGTGCCATCTCACCGTCGCAGTCAAATATGAACGTCTCGACGGAGTCGATGAGCGTGGCGGCGTCCTCCAGCTTGGCCACCGGGACCGCGCCGGCGCCGCCGCCGCCGCCGCCACGACGGGTGTGAGCATGGCTGGGGAGGCGCCGCTGGGTGGTCAGCACGATGGGCGTGCTCCCTTCTGGCATCAAGTAATGGAGAGGAAGCACCGAGGGGAGGGGAGGCGGTGGAAGGAGCTGTTGCGGGACGCGACGGTCGTCCTCCCTAGGGCTACAGGCGCGTGGCGTGGCTGACGCGTGGGGATGGGGGGAGGCAGTGCGACGCGGGGATGGGAAGCGACCGCATCAGAGGCGGGCCCGCGGCGCAGCTCGCGCGCGCGCGCACGGGGGAGGAGAAGCGGCGCGAGGGTGAAGGAGAAGGGAGAGGAAGCGCCGCATCCGGCGGCGGCATAGCCTCTGCGCGATGCGGATGGGTTAGGAGAAACCGAAAAATCCTGGAAAGAAGTGGGCTGGGCTTCACCTGTGTGCGACCGTCCAGATCAGATCGAACGGCTGAGGTTTTAGTGGTGACGTGGCTTAATCACAGATCAGCTTTGGGTCTCAACTATATAGAAAGAGGGATTAGCTCAATTAGTGTGTGCTATGGATGGTGATTCGTGGGTAGGAATAAGTTAAGGGTCCGAAAACTGGGATAAATGTGTGATTGATGATGAAGAGCTATAGTTTCATCGGTATTATTCATGTGAATAATAACTTACTTTTTATTCTCTATTTTTCTAACAATATGTATCTCTAATTTAATTACTGAGGAGCTGCAGGTTTGCGTGAATTTCATGAGAATTGGATTCTTTTTTTCTCTATTAATCCTATGCTGCGTCGTCCAGACCTTTTTTTCTGCTTAGTCATCACTCGTTTTTTCTTTTTTTTTTTTGCTCAGCCGAGCGTGCTTGCTGCCATTTGGAGAAAACACATGTTTTGTTTTATTAGGAATGCATCTTAGAATCACAATTTGATCTTATTTTTGCATTTGAATTTTCATATAATCAAAATGCAGGATATCATATTTCATGTATAATCTCCTACAGAGTCTACTAAATTTATTTCTCATCGAACATAGTTTGACAAATCAGTTTTATTTATTGTTAACAACCAATATACTTTTCACTCTTAGCTCAATTATTAAAAAAACATATTAAAACTTACTTAGTAATTTTCATAGCAAAACGCGGGGAATCACCTAGTTAAGTACAGGAGGTGTTGGAAAAAAAGTATATAGGAGGAGAGAGAGAGAGGTGATCGATACCAGGAGGTGTCGAAAAAAAAAGTGTATAGGAGAGAGAGAGCGTGTGGAGGAGAGAGCTTGCATGCGCGTAGAAAGAGTGGAAGAGAGAGAAATGAGGTATGCATGCAGAGGTGCTATGGAGAGAAAAGTAACTTGCATGTTGGGAAGGGGCACATCGGGTACCCGATTTATAGTTGGGTCTAGTTTTGATTCAACAACCGGTCTTTGCAATCCATAGTGAGTTTTTTTTTAATATATTGGCCCATGCCCTTACGAAAATGTTAAATTGGAAAAATACCACTATGAAAACCAAAATCGGGTGGATGCCACTCATACTTCTATAAATTTACCATGCCATTGTCATCAAGATTTTATATCAGATATATTGTATATTTGTGGTCTCGTATTTAAGGTATTCATAATCATACTATTTTGTTTCTACAGTCCTTTTAGTTTTTTATTACAGTACTATCAGCAATATTTATCGAGAATAAAATACCATATCTTAATTTGCACTACTTACTTTACTGTTTATCATTAATTTACTTTTTATCATGTTAGTAATGTTTATTAATATCACTTTATAAAAAAAACATGGTTTATAGAGTATATATTGCAAATAAAAAGGTTTAGGGCCTATAGAATCAAGGGGCTCTTGAAATTATAGAGCCGGTCTTGCCCTCTTGACCATCCGCCGGTGGTTGCTTGGAGAGGAAGAAAAATGATGCATGTTTCCTCTTTGACGGAAATATTTATGGCGATGGCACATTTCTAATTTTATGATAATTCAGTGACACCCACCTAGTTTCGGCTTTAGTAGTGGTATTTTTCCAATACAACGTTTCCATAATGGCACGATCAAATTTACCCTTCTTTTTTCAAATTTACCAAAACAACTAAGATCTCAGAGTCAGAATCAAGATGGGAGGAGGGGGGAAGGGGGAGTTCTTCGATTTAGATGAATGTCGAGGTGGCGGCGACTTGATGGTAGACCACGACATCGTGAGGGAGGTGAGACGGGCGACACACCACGAAGACGTAATAGGACGGTGGAGGCAAATGGGGGCATCAAGAAACCAGTGGTTAGGTGACGACAATGGCACATCCTATGGCGGAATACAAAGGAAACATCAGAGAAATTAAGGTAGTGTGGGGCTTTAGAGACAAAGAATATATACAGGTAATGGGAAGAATTAATTGAGCCAGAGTGCCAGAGCAGAAGGAGACGGTGTTGGGGCTAGCCAAACAACATCTCTAGTGGGTCTTTAACGGTCGTAGCGAGATAGACAAGTGGTGGCACGTAGAACAGAAATAGTGATGAAAAGACGGTGGCGGTGGAAGCTGTGGCATAGAGGAGACGCTCATATGAGTGGGTTGAGGGTGGGCCAGTGGAGGACTGGTGGAAGATAGCAGGACATGGACAGCAGTTGGATCTTAATCCGGTGGTAAAAAACTTGTCATATTTAAAGGGGAGTTTTTTTAAATATGATATACTATCTGTATCTCAAAATATAACATTTTTTTACTGTGTATTTGGGGATCTCAGAAATTGTTATATTTTCAGACTGAGGTACGTACCATGCAGTTTCCAAATTTAAAGGCGATAAGCTCACTGTCATGCCCACTAGTCCAGACGGTGTTTAACCCATCACCTGATTAAAAGAAGAAAAAAAAACAGGGTAAAAACAGAAATAGAAAAAAATAAAAAAAATTCTAGTGGCTCAGGACCAGTGCAAGCCACACTGCTCCACAAAGGCAGGGTGGAAGGAGTCCTCCTTGCCGCTGCCACCATTCGTGCCAGAGAAAATCGCTGTTCCCCTGCTGCATGCATGCATCGCCCCGCCCTGACCACTTCACCTGCCTCTCCATATATACGCAGTTTGCAGCAGATCAGACACTCTCACCGCCGCTCTCTCTTCCTCTCCAACATGAATATGCCATTGCTACTCCTCATCGCCATCGTCGTCGTCTCCCTCTCCCATGGCAACGGGGAGCAGACCGACCTCACGCGGGAGACGTTCCCCGCGGGCTTCGTCTTCGGCACCGCGTCGTCGGCGTACCAGGTGGAGGGGAACGCCCTCCAGTATGGCCGAGGGCCCTGCATCTGGGACACCTTCCTGATGCAACCTGGTGAGATCGATGATACATGTTCAGGCAAAACTAGCAATGTGGTATCTAAATATACAGATCATAAACAGTTTGTCGCATTTTTCAAATAATGGAATTAACAATGTGTTGGGACGATCCACCTAAAAAGAGAATATGACAACAACAATCTAAAAAGAATTACATAGCCTGATATTGAAATGTTGTTGCATTACGGCGCGTTGCATTTTGTACGTCTCTAGTGGATGTATGACTGGTTGTTGATTTGGCTCTGATTGTTCCTTTGGATAGGTGTAACTCCTGATAATTCGACCGCGAATGTGACCGTCGACGAGTACCACCGCTACATGGTCAGTGAAAGTCTCATGTGTTTCAGTGCCTGTTCTAATGGGTTTCTGTTCCTCTGTATGACTCTTGATTTGTAGCTTATGTGGCTCCTCTGATGATCTTCTTTGCAGGATGATGTGGACAACATGGTGAGAGTGGGCTTCGACGCGTATCGCTTCTCGATCTCCTGGTCTCGCATTTTCCCCAGTAAGTTACCGGCTGAAACATGGTCAGGCACAGTGATGAGATCATGGGATATTCCTTTCATTGATGGTTTTTCTTCTGCGTGTTGTAGGTGGACTTGGGAAGATTAACAAAGACGGCGTGGATTATTACCACAGGCTCATTGATTACATGCTTGCTAACAGTACGTTGGTCTTGGCATTTCTTCTAGTTCTTGCCCATTTCGGATTTCATGATCTCGAATTAATAGGTTTTTTTTTGGTTTGATTTGCACATCAGACATTATTCCATATGTTGTGCTCTACCACTACGACCTTCCACAGGTGCTCCATGATCAATACAAGGGATGGCTACACCCCAGAATTGTGTAAGTGTTCGTGATCAAAGCCATCTGTTTGGCTGTAAAACTTAAAATTAAATACCCTTTAAATTGTTTGACAAACTACAGAAGCACCTCTGAAGATTTTGTGCTAAATTATGAAACCCATAGCTCTCTAACTGCGAAATCCTGACAGTGAAAGTTCTGCAGGTGTTTAACCAAAATAGGTTTCACTGTAGCATATCCGACATACACAAATATCAAACCCAGACAATCTGTATCCTCCCTTTCTTACGTTCCTTACTCCCTTTTTCTTGAATTAATGTGTGATTCATGTCTGCGACTTCATTTTGCAGGAGAGATTTTGTGAGATTTGCAGACTTCTGCTTCAAGACATATGGTCATAAGGTGAAGAACTGGTTTACCATTAACGAACCTAGGATGATGGCAAATCATGGCTACGGTGACGGCTTCTTCCCCCCTGGCAGATGCACCGGCTGCCAACCCGGTGGGAATTCCGCCACCGAGCCTTACATCGCAGCCCATAACCTTCTCCTTTCACATGCCGCTGCTGTCAGGACATATCGTGACAAGTACCAGGCTAGTGAATGATATCCATGCCCCTACTATCCAATTCAACATTTCTTAAAATCTCCAATGTATCAGCTCATGTTCATGATACCTTGCGATTTTCAGGCTATTCAGAAGGGGAAGATTGGCATCCTTCTCGATTTTGTATGGTATGAGCCACTCACCGACAAAGAAGAGGATCACGCAGCTGCACATAGAGCCAGGGAGTTTACCCTTGGCTGGTGATACATCTTACACTGTTCATCAATCATTGCTCTTACACGGTGTCCGCATGAAGGTTGAACTGAACTTCCACTTGAAACTTTTGCTAGGTACCTGCACCCGATTACATATGGTCATTACCCAGAAACTATGCAGAATGCTGTTAAGGAAAGGCTGCCCAATTTCACACGTGAGCAGTCTGAGATGATAAAAGGATCAGCGGATTATATTGCGATCAACCATTACACAACTTATTATGTCAGTCACCACGTCAACAAGACATCCATCAGCTATCTCAATGATTGGGATGTGAAAATTTCATGTATGACACTTTCAAATCACACAGTATTAGACCAGAAATATTTGTACCTTTTCAATTCTTTGCCTTCCTAGCTAACACATTTTGGTCCTCTATTCAGATGAGCGTAACGGTGTGCCAATTGGGAAACAGGTAAGCAACAATTTACAAGAAAGGTTGAAAAGAATGGTAGATCATGAACTAAATTCTGGTTTTTAAACATCTATGCAGGCGTACTCGAACTGGCTTTATGTTGTTCCTTGGGGGATCTACAAAGCTGTCATGCATGTCAAGGAGAAGTACAAGGACCCCATTATAATCATCGGAGAAAATGGTAAATAAAGATAATACTGGAGACCCTTTCAATTTTCGGACAGTGAACAGTACAACTATAAAAGTGCTCTGCAGAATGAATCTAGGAGCAAAATCTAACAAGAACCTTTTGCAGGCATTGACCAGCCAGGCAATGAGACCCTACCTGGTGCACTGTATGACTTCTTCAGGATACAATATTTTGATCAGTACCTCCATGAGCTTAAGAGGGCGATCAAGGATGGTGCAAGGGTCACTGGGTATTTTGCTTGGTCCCTGCTTGACAACTTCGAGTGGCGGCTCGGGTTCACTTCAAAATTCGGAATCGTCTATGTAGACCGGAGCACTTTCACACGGTACCCTAAAGACTCAACACGTTGGTTCAGGAAGATGATAAAAAGTGAGGTTTGAGTTGGATTATTATCACTGTTGGCAGCTGCTGGAGTGCTTTTTTGTTATGCTAGTTTTGGTTGTATGAATAATAAGATGTCTTGTACTAGTTGAGAACTTCTTCAGATTTTGTACTTCTAGTATTCTACTTTTTGTACTTCAGATTTTGCAAGCAAGGATGATTTTAGTTTAATAGATTCAGGACATCTATATATACTGGTGATAAGAGAGGCAGATTTCAATTTTTGGCTTGAATTGCCCATATTTGTGTTTTCCAATGTTTTTTAACTTCAAATTTTAAACTTTGGAAAGAACTACAGTTTTTTTTAACACACAGGAGCTCTGTGTCCCACTTGAATAGAAGAAAAAAAATCCATTGCCCCTTAACTGGTCAAGCTTTTACAAACATTAAAATGATCTAATAATGGTTAAAGAAAACAACATCCTGGGAGGCTATCTAAAGATCTAGCCAATGCACTTTGCTCCACCCAGCCTCGATTGAGTACATGCGGTCTTTGATATCATCCACCAACATAGATATGTTCTTAAAAGAACTATTAAAGATTCTAGGATTTTTTTTTAACCAAATGGAGTGTACAGTGATGAGGAAAACCAAGTTGCAACCTTTTTAAATGTTCAGAATGAATTTGATGCCATACGGAAACCCATCGATCTCTTAGGTGAAAAAGAACTACAATACAGGTTGATACTAGAGTATCAGTTACAAGATGATTAGATAACTTTTATACCCATTGCAATAAGATTACATTCTTAAGTATAACAAACTTCTAGTTCTTTATCTATTTTACCAATTAAAAAAAAGTATATATTGATGAAAATGCCTGTGGACACCATAGCCTCACTTTGTGTACTTTTTTTTTACGGGAAACAATAGGAGAGGCTACTACTGTATTATATTAATAAATATAATATTTACAGGGTTTATGTACAAAAGCAATAAAAAAAAGAGTTAGATGTCCCCATCATTTGATCAGAATGCTGCCAAGTGGACAGAAGAAAGAATGAGAGGAGAGGATCCATCACAGGATAGGGCTGGCTGCCCCATCCACACAAGCCAAAACAGTCCCAGCACCTCTTTTTTTTTTCTCTCTTGCTTTGTTCCATTAGCACACAAGACTGAACCACAAGTTTCAGACAAGGGATATACTACCATCCTGAACAAACAAAGCCCCTCCTCTTGTTTGTACCTTGTTTTTTTTTATAACAGCTCAAGCACAGGGAGAGGAGGGTTGAGGAGAGTAAACAAGAAAAAAAAGAGAGAGAGATGGCAGCAACAGCCTCCCTGAAGAGCAGCCTCCTGCTACCATCTCCTATCTCTGACTTCAGTAGTGCAGCACTCTCCATCTCAACCCAGGTAATCTGAAGAACAGAAAAACATGAAACTTTCAGTTCCATGAGGTTCAAGCATGGCAGAAAAGCTAAGAGATGGTTGTGAATTCTTTATCGACAGGCTAGGAGGAGGTCATGGCAGCCAAGGGGGGCAAGGATGCAGGTAGCAGCAGCTGCAGACTCCAAGAACATTCTTGTGATGGGGGGAACCAGGTTCATTGGTGTCTTCTTGTCCAGGCTCCTTGTCAAGGAGGGGCACCAGGTATGTCAGTTGTGTAGTGTGATATTTTTTCCCCTGTAAGTACAATATTTTCTGTGTTTTGGAGAAGTAAGTTAATTGAAAAACTGTATTTGTTAGGTCACATTGTTCACTAGAGGAAAGGCCCCCATTACCCAGCAGTTGCCAGGAGAGTCAGATGCAGAGTATGCAGAGTTCTCTTCAAAGGTGTGCTGTTTCCTCCTATCTTATTCCTGTGTATACCATGTAAAAGAGGATTGTCCATTTGCAGTGTGATAAATAATACTGCAGTAGAGATGCTAATGTATACACAAGGTATTATAAAATTTCTAATGTAGGATTATTTAGGAATTAGGACAGTATAAAGGCCTAACTGAATGAATATCTTGTTCTCAACAATTATCATTTAAGTTCAGTGAGATGGCGTTAATTTGGGATGGTTTTTTCTGTAGGTGTTGCACTTGAAAGGTGACAGGCAAGACTTTGATTTCGTTAAGACAAGCCTTGCGGCAAAGGGCTTCGATGTTGTTTACGACATAAACGGTAACACTTCAAAGCCAAAAAAACCACCATAGTAGCCCTGCATAGATCATAAAACATGTCAATGCTAATGGTCACTGTAAACCAGCCTAGCAACTTCAAAAAACAGCAATCTTCCATCCCACCAACTGAAACTATCACCTTCAATCTTCCATCAAATATAGTACTATCACGCGATTTTTCACGCATATCGGCTCATGGTTTTACAGGGAGAGAAGCTGTTGAGGTAGCCCCAATCCTAGACGCATTGCCGAACCTTGAACAGTAAGCCTAACTACACCATCTGACCATAGCCCAAATTACAGCATTTCTGAACAAACCAAATTTCCAATGTCTGAATTTTCCCATATGTGTCATCTTCAGGTACATCTACTGCTCATCAGCAGGAGTGTACCTGAAATCAGACCTGCTCCCGCACTTCGAGGTACGCCACCGCATTTTCCACTCATGCTAACTAATGATCACCACTGATGGAATGCCATTGATCATGCCGAGCTTTTGTGTGTCTGGCAGACCGACGCCGTCGACCCGAAGAGCCGGCACAAGGGGAAGCTGGAGACGGAGAGCCTGCTGGAGACCCGGGACGTGAACTGGACGTCGATCAGGCCGGTGTACATCTACGGCCCGCTCAACTACAACCCCGTGGAGGAGTGGTTCTTCCACCGGCTCAAGGCTGGCCGCCCCATCCCTGTCCCCGGTGCCGGCAACCAAATCACCCAGCTCGGCCATGTCAAGGTCAATTCGATCAGTGATCATTATTCAGAGAATTCAGAGTGTGTATTTGGGTGTCGACCTGAAACTCTGAATCTTTGTGGTGGTTTTTGCAGGACTTGGCGACGGCGTTCGTGCTGGCGCTCGGCAACCCGAAGGCGAGCAAGCAGGTGTTCAACATCTCCGGCGCCAAGTACGTCACCTTCGACGGTCTAGCACGGGCGTGCGCCAAGGTACGTGGCATCAACGAAGCTGTAGCGGCCAAGAAATGACATGGGACTTTCCGGCAGGATTGCCATGAATCTTGGTGTGTTTGAAATTTGATCATGCAGGCTGGAGGATTCCCCGAGCCGGAGATCGTCCACTACAACCCCAAGGACTTCGATTTCGGGAAGAAGAAGGCCTTCCCCTTCAGAGACCAGGTTATATATTATATCCAGCAATGGCTTCTCTGCTAAATCTGAAGAAAAATTTGCTGCTGCTGCTGCTGCTAGTGTTCTGAATTCGATGTGATTGCAACAACTGCAGCATTTCTTCGCGTCAATCGAGAAGGCGACCTTGGAGCTCGGGTGGAAGCCGGAGTACGACCTGGTGGAGGGCCTCACCGACTCGTACAACCTCGACTTCGGCCGCGGCACGTTCAGGAAGGCGGCCGACTTCACCACCGACGACATGATCCTCGGCAAGAAGCTCGTCAGCGTCTGAGCTCGCCGCCGTCCTTTCCGGACAGCGGACGGATTGCTTGCTGCGCGACGCGAGCGGCTGACCGGCCGGGCCGCCATGGCCGGTGGGCAGGAGCAAGCGGAGACGGTTTCAGTTTTGTTATCAACGCTGGTTTGGTACAATATGGATAGTTGGATACACGCGTACAGGCGTAAGCTGCAATGTATTGGGATTGGGAAACTGTAAGATGTGATACAAGGGAGACTAAACTTCATCTAATATATATGATATAACTAGCAAAATGCGTGTGCTTCACTACGAGTGAAAAGAACGTTGAATGCTAAAAGGCACAACTAAACATGAGCATAAAACCCAATGATATTCACGGCTGATATAAACAGCAGTATTGCAAACTGATAGACTCGTATATATGTAGTAGATTTTATATGACTCCATAATACCATAGTATGTACAGTAATTCATCTAGCTACTAGTTCCTTCTTGGTCTGCCCAACCCCGGCGGAACGAGATGAAGATGGGGATTTTCCATATGCAGCGAAGAGGCCACGTGTGCCTCAAGAGTAGAGCAGAAAACAGGTAGTGCCAAATCAGACAATGTGTCTTCCTTGTCAGGTGTCAATGCCTCCGGTTTTGATTCCCAAGGCTCCTCCGGAGGACCTGTCCGACTGGCTGCTTCGAGAAACCGAGGGGTAGGATTCAAACCACGAGGGATTGATGAGGGGCGGAAGCAGGGGGACCGATAGGGCTGCCAGGGGGCAGGGCCAGGGGACGGGCCAATGGCTTAAGGGAGAGATCTGTTCCCAGACCAAGGGACATTGCTGGTGGTCTCAAGTTAGAACAAGAAATCTAGTAAAGTTATCTCGCCGAGGGATGATTAGGCTGTTGGGGCATTGGAAGTTGTCAGCTTGGCTTTGGTACCACCGGGCAACAAACCTCCCCTCTCAAGCTGTGGGCGGAGGATACAGGTGAAATCGACTCGAACAAGAAGCGAGAGTGCTTCAACCTTGATCAGCGGATCAAGCGGTGGTTGTGGAGTAGTCTCGCCAGACTCAATGAGTATCTTGTGCTATAACTGTTGTGGGCTGGGGTCAGGTGTGATAGTGAGTGAGCTTCGCTGGCTGGTGAAGACTCACCCTCCTCATCTTTCTCTCTAAGCCGATGTTCGGCACCCCTTTTTTCCAACCCCTCTCCTCGTTTTCCATACGCACGTTTTTCAAACTGTTAAACGGTGCGTATTTTGCAAAAAAGTTTCTATACGAAAGTTGCTTAAAAAATTCAATTTAATCCATTTTTGAAAAAAAAATAGCTAATACTTAATTAATCACGTGCTAATGGACCGCTCTGTTTTCCGTGCGTACTGTTCCGGTTGGGAACTAGGAATGGCAAACACACCCTAAGACGATAACAAAGCAAGAAACATGATGTGGTCCTTAGGATTCTCAAGCTCTTTTGCCTTCAGCTGCAATATAATAGCCTCACCAGGGAGCTTGTCCTGTTTTGATCATCAGTTTCAACGGAAGGGGCCATTGTCTATAGGGAACCAAAGCAGGAATTGAGACATGTGTTTTGAACCTTGTTCGCCGTCTCCATCGTTAATGGATCGGCCCATGTTTTTGTTGTGGGGATTTCCACAAAGTGCTATGTTATTTGCCAAGAGTGATGCCAGGAGAGTCCATACACTCAAGTCCTCCATCAAGACCTATTGTGATGACTCAGAATAGAAGGTCATTCTCCAATAATCATCGATCTTCTTTGGCAAGCATTGCCAATCTGACACCAAAGAGAGAGTGAAAGCAAGTCTACAAGTCTCTAATGAGATCCTTCAAGACTCCTATCTTGGCATGCCAACCGAGATGAGGAATGGCAGTAGGTAGGGCACAGAGTTAGTGAAAGGTCTTGCAGGAAGAGATTGCAAACTCGATCCTGCAAGTTTCAATTAGCCACCAAGGTTTGGATGACTATGCATCTTGGCCCCATGATAAATTTGGGTCATACACTGTTCGTTCAGCCTAAGACTTGGTGAAATTTGAGCGGTTCCTATTTGCTCAAAGCACAAATGGAAGGGGGCTATCTTTAGTATGGGAAGTTGATACCGCGGTCTGGAAGGATCTTTGGAAGACTACGACGCCAGGGAAGACGAAAATAAATGTTCGGAGGGCGGCACATCATTGCCTTCTGACGGGCTTCCAGCTATGATGACACCACACATCCCTGCAATCAACGGTTGTGTGTTTTGCAACCAAGATGATCAAATAGAAAATGTCCTTTTGACCTGCCCCTTTGCCAAATAAATTTGGGGAGTACTCAAGCAAAAGTTTGGCTTCGAGATGTGCAAAAGAAATCTTATAGATATGAGGCATTGGATATTTGATTTCATGAACAAAAGCTTGCGCATCAAAAAAATGGCTCTTGTTGTAATTTTCTAGCACATTTGGGAAGCAAGGAATGAGGCAAAGAACAACAATGACTTATGGCGTCCTCATTGGGTGGCTATGATATTCACGACTTACATGATATAATCCAGCAGCACTGCTTTAAACCTATGAATGCACCAAGCTGTATCTCTTATGTTGTTCAATGATGGATTCCACCGTCTGCAGGAACAATTCTTTTCAATGTTGATGCTATAATTTTTCATGGTTCTCGTCGCATGAGTGCAGGTCTAATTATTTGTTACCATAATGACAGTTGTATTTTTACCAGCAATGAGCATATACCCATGATTGTCAACCCAGAGCTTGCTGAAGCCCTCGCGATCCAGTGCACCCTGCAACGCGCAAAAGAAAAAGGCTTCCTGAAGCTGATTTTGGCATTAGACTGCCTTTCTGTCATACAGTAGGTCCAAAAGATGATCCGAGATCGATCTAACATCGTTTGTGTGATAGGCTACATAAAGAAGCTCGCGTCTGAGTTCCTACTTTGTTCCTTTATTATCCATGTTAGTCAGTTGTCTAATGTTGCGGCACATATATACTTAATAGCTCGCTATGTCGAGTCTAACTCTTGTTCTGGAAAGTACGTTGTTCTGATGCTCCTTAATCAATAATGTGCCGCAATTATATAAAAAAAGAAGCATGATAGTTTTAGACTTTTAGCCGATCACTTTTCTACGTAAGCTAGGCTCAAACATGGACAAGATGAAATTTGGAATATGAGGAACTAGTTTCTTGTTTTGTGCTTATTCACCCAAAACCAAAATAAATAAACCTATGAATTGTCTATATAAATTAAGGTACATAAACATGAGAATCTTTGTGTCAATTGAAAATTAGAACACCTCATAATCGTAACACATAAAACAAAATCCATACTAAGCCTTTACTTAGTAGTATAAATTAAAAAAAATGCATGAAAAACTCACCTACAAACATAATCTTTCGTAGGAGAAAACTAGTCTAGAAATGTAAGACGAAGAAACGACTTTCACTACACATTCAAACGTGCTAGTTTATTTTGCACCATGCCGTACAGGCGTACAAGAGCCCACGTGCTAGTTTATTTTGTACCCATCACTATAAAATCGATGTAAAAATATGGCTAAAATTAACTTTGAAAGTGAAGTTTGGCTTAGATTTTTAGTGGCACACAAAATAAGACGAGTCACTCGCACATGATTAATTGGATATTGATTATTCCAAACTTGAAAAAAAAGTTTATTTTTCTTTTTTTGAAAAAAAAATGGCAACGCTTATTAGTTTGGGAAACATGCATATGGTAAACGAGCGGTAGCAACATGCAAACCCATTTTCAAACTCCGGCTTAGTGGGCCACAAGTCTGCCCACTTGCATCCCTAACTTTTTTGCATTATGATAGAAAAGTTTTTTTCCTAAAAAATCAAAACCACAAATCAGTAAGAAATTTTCACCTAAAACATAAATACTCCATGGTATATTGTCCAATATAAATGATCAACAGCAGAACCATACTTAAAAAGAAATTTTACATATAACGATATAAAGAGAATCTGCCTATTTCGTGATGGAAAGATACAAACCTTCATGTAAGTCTATCAAGTTCAGCACAATAATTTTGATGCCAGCCCATACTCCTGTTTTATCTACAACGACTATAATTTAGGTATATCATTGCTTCGTAAGAAAACTTTGCCTTCTTCTCACTGTACTTCTTTATTACCACGCACTTTTCTTCCTTAGTTTTATTTACAGAGCTGGACGTTGCCATTACTATCTCATTGCCTTGACAGCCTACCTATCTCCTTAATTATAACGGGAGGGAAACCCTCTCTTGATCTTCACTCAATCACCTTCCAATTCACACTACTTAATTAACTTAGGCCCCGTTTGATCTCTCTTTTGGGAGTTGGATTTTTGTTGCACGCAAAATGAGAAACCTCATTAGCACATGATTAATTAAATATTAACGATCATAAATTTGAAAATTGAATTATTTGCTTTTTTTAAAACAACTTGTATATATAAACTTTTTTTGAAAAAAAATACACTATTTAACCGTTTGAAAATCGTGCTAACGAAAAATAAGGAAGTTGAAGAATAGAACTGAGCCTTAGTGTCACCGATCATTTCCCATTCACAACTTTGCTGATTTTGTTTTTATTTTAGTATCGTTACAGGTGCTAATAATGCTGCAGATTATTGTTTAGAAAAATACTGACTTAATCTCACTATGGTATTTTCTGACGAAATAGTTTGGGAGAGCAGTATAACTGATTTTTCTTTATCCCTTTGCATGCCTAATCTGATTCATAATCTATATTCTTTTTCTCCACGTGACTGAAATGCCCTCCGTACTTAAACCACCAAACCCGAAGACCAACCTATCTACGAGACCAACCACCAAATCCACCAACCGAAACCGCTCACCCGTTAGCCCGTTAAGATCGCGCCCAGTACAAGTTGCCCCACCCGCCTCCACGAAACGGAGTTCGCCGACGAGCCGACCGTTGCGTCCGCGTGTTGCGACTCCGCCGAGCCCTAGTTTCCGCCGCCGCCGCCGCCGCGCCCTCGCCGCCACCCCCACCGATCTCGATCCCCCCACCCCGCGGGCAAATCGCCGCCGAATCCGGCCTCGGATCCGCGGAATCCGGGCCGGGTCAGCCATGATCTTGGAGCAGTTCGACGAGTCGGCGGCGGAGAAAGCGGATGCGGCGATGGTGGTGGCGCCGCCGTCCAACTTCGGGATGGTGGACACGGGGGTGTACCGGTCGGGGTTCCCGGACCCTGCCAGCTTCGGTTTCCTCAGGGGCCTCGGCCTCCGATCTGTCGTGTGAGCGGTTCTCGGGGGGTTGGGTTCGTTTAGATTGGATTGGATTGCTGTTGGTATTATTCCTTCGGTGTATGTGCTCATGTGGTGGATTTCATCTGGATTTAGGTATCTGTGCCCTGAACCTTACATGGAGACGAATGCCGAGTTCTTGAAGGCGGAGGGGATCCGCCTCTTCCAATTTGGGATTGAGGGGAACAAGGTGATCACGCTGTTCCTTTATTTATTTTCTTCCTAATTCATGTTTGTGTGATATATGTGGCAATTTGGGATTCAGGGGAACAAGGTGATCATGCTGTTCCTTTATTTATTTTCTTCCTAATTCATGTTTGTGTGATATTTGTGGCAATTTGGGATTGAGGGGAACAAGGTGATCACGCTGTTCCTTTATTTATTTTCTTCCTAATTCATGTTTGTGTGTGATATTTGTGGGAATTTTCTCTTTAGGTTTGTTAACTTCTATGTTTAATAGATGCATGTTGTTTAGGTGCGATTGTGCTCTGATGGGTGTGGAATCCTGATGCAATATGCTGAGAAGGGCGTGTTTTTGTTCTTTAAATATACAACAACATTCCCCAATCAGAGTTGGAACACATCGAATATTGATTTTAAACCTCACAACCTAATGCATGATTAAGTAATTATGTGTCATAAAATCTGTACACTAAGTACTTATTCCAGAGAGTGTGGGGTCCTAAGCTTTCCTTGTCAAATCGTAGGGATCATAGAATTTACAGGCATTTCTGGAAATTGGTGCTAATTTGATGATTGAAGGTTGCCTTGATAAATGATAACTATAGAACAATTAAATGTTTAGTGTCAAGTGATGTTTGTAGTAACAATCCACAAACTTCAAAAGGAAGTTGATTTAGAATTTCTCTGTTGCAATTTATACTGGTTGATGCTTAATTAGGAGATGCCTTTTCAGTTATTGAATTGAAGTTGATCAGTGTCATTTTCACCATTGTAACTGCTAATATTAGGCAGTTTCATAATGCATCCGGAATGTTTCTTGTAAGGAAATTTCTTCAGTCATACATGGTCTGTAGAATGAATTTTTAACATAACTTTCTATACTCAGCAAGGACAGATAGTTGGACATCCGTTATTTTTTGACATCGCAGCCTTTTTCATGGTCCTTCATTTGTATTCATTTTTCCTTCAATTATGCCCCTGCAAAACATGCATTATTAAATTTTCAATATGCCTTTTTTTATATTTAAACATGAATTGAATACAAAGTTGCTTCCATTATTACATAGGGTTATGTGAAATTTTATGTCCAATACTCCCTTTGTTTCAAATTACTTGTCGTTCTATGTTTTTCTTAAGTCAAGCATTTTAATTTGACCATCAATTTCTATAAACTCATATAGTTTAACATCATAAGGTTTATATTTTTGGATTTGCGATGAGAAATACTTTCATAATAAATAATTCACATGATGAACTGCATGGATTTTTAAAAACTAATGGTAAAAAATAGACATGTTTGACTTAGGACAAACCTAGAACGACAAATAATTTGAAACAGAGGGAGTAGTTGTGTCCAACATTTTTGTCAGAAGAAAGTACAATCTATTTTTTTCCATTTCTCATGGAAATAGCCTAAGCCAGTAAACGTGATTTAGATTTTTTTTTCCTTCCCTCTTCTATTCAGGATGCAATGCTATTTTAAAAAGAAGTATTTGTTTTTTGCTGACCATTTGATAGTTTTTTTTTGTTCCTTAGTTATTTGATAGTTTAGTTGCTGATGTACAAGAAGCCTCATGTTACATACTTTCTTGTACTTTGGCCTAAAAGGCTTGACTAAAATGGATTTTTCCACATTTTCTTTCTTGGAAGTATAGGTGAGGCATGGTCTAGAAATTGTTTGAAAAAAAAGTTTAAATCAAAAGTTGAGGCTCATTTTCCTAGTCTTTTTACTTGCTCTGAAATAAAAATTTGGCGACCAATGTTCAATGTCTAATTAACGTTTACAACTTTAGCATGATTTTACGGTTGCAAGTACAAACTACCGATTTTTTGTGCTGAATGAATGATTAGAACCGCCTCTGTTCCTTTTGTGGTAGTATCCAGTTAGGTACTCCTAATGTTGGAAGAGCACCTGCATTTTCTTGTCGATCAGTAGTCACTCCCTTCACTTTGATGTTTGCTCATTATACCTTTCCACTGTTGTTAGTTGTGTCTTACTACAGGTGAAGAAGTAAGTTTTTTTTAGTTCTGTCAGACACTCCAATAGACATTGTCGTGATTCACCAAGTGCTTGTGCTTGTTACTCTGTTCTATCATTGCTTTTGGATAAAATAACCCTTGATGTTTGCTTGTTTCTTCATTCTTGATTACATATATGAAGAAGTTCAGTATCTCTTAAATGTTTGCATCTGCAGGACCCTAACGTGTCCATTCCTGTGGATGCCATCATGGGGGCTCTTAGGGTCATACTTGGTACTGAATTAGGCTTCTTCTGTCCTGTTTATCTTTGCTGTATACTAAAACTCTCTGATGACCATCAAGCTAATAATTTTGACTTACTAGTACTGATTCTTGGTTTCAGATGTAAGGAATCACCCAGTTCTAATCCATTGCAAAAGAGGAAAGGTACCAAAAAGCACTCATCTGTTCAAAATCCATAATTGTTTTTGTCCACACCACATGTTCTTGATATTTTATCTGTTTCGACCGCAGCACCGTACTGGATGTCTTGTGGGCTGCTTCAGAAAGCTGCAGAATTGGTGTCTCTCATCAGTCTTTGAAGAGTACCATCGGTATGCTGCTGGAAAGTCACGGTTGTCAGATCTGAAGTTTATCGAATCATTTGATGTCAACTGCATGACGGATTGCCTGCTCAGGCTCATCTACCACTACCATGGTTGCCTTCAGAAAAGCAAGCGCCTGGCATACAGCGAGAGATAAACTACTGTGGAAACTATCTCCTGTGTCATGAGTATATCCCTGGAGAAGAATTGGTCGGACTATTTTTCCTTTTTGGAGGGGAATTGGTCGGAGTTGTAACACAAAGACTCGAGTTACCGGGCATCTGTTGATTCTTTTTTTATATCTTCATGCCTTGGTTCTTTTTATAATATATATATATATTCTTTGAGCATGGTCTTTGACGTTAATTTCACCACCCTAAATATAAGTCTAAGCAAGTTTATGATTATTAAGTGTGGTGTATTGCTATGGTAGTGCGCATCCTCATATAACAACCAAACACCTGTTTGCCAGTCCTTACATTCTTCGAGAAGTAGATCCCTGGCAATTAATTAATCACGCGGTCTTAATATATACTCCCGTTTCAAAATATTTGACACCGTTAACTTTTTAGCACATGTGTGACCGTTTGTCTTATTAAAAAAATTTATAAAATATGTAAAATTATATGTGTACATGAAAGTATATTTAACAATGAATCAAATGATATGAAAAGAATAAATAATTACTTAAATTTTTTAAATAAGACAAATGGTTAAACACGTACTAAAAAGTCGACGGTGTCAAACATTTTGAAACGGAGGGAGTACTTTCTCGTGATACTCTCCCCGCGGATCACATTAGATGTTGTGATAGTCTCCCCGCGGATCACTAGAGAAGTTGAGAACCTATAAATTGCCAGTTCGTTTGCTCTGCTCTTTCTTATGCAAGATGTGTTTAATTGTACTGATGAGATTCCGTTGAAACACATGCCCATGAAATTTACTAATTTTTGAAAAACATTTTCTCAAAAATATCCAAAAGTAATCCTTTTTGACCAAACTTCGAAAAAATATTTCCTCAAAAATATCCAAAAGTAATCTTTTTGACCAAACTCCGAGTCTGCGACCATTCTGTTATGCCATCTCCAGATATATTGATTCAGCAACCTTGCCCCAACCACAAGCCCTGCAGGCTGCAGATTCTGTTTTCCACTTGGCGCGACGGGCGGCACCGCCAGCTAGGCGTCCAACGTAAGGAGGGGGATCTCCAGGAATTCAGATAAGGGATAGGGTTGCTGGCATCCTCCATCCAATGAACGCCACACAGCTCTCAACCATATCTCATCTTCAGGGACCCACCCAAACACATACTCCAGATTTTCTCTCCTGCAGCTTGTAAAGATCACAAACTTTAATTTCTAGGGCAGTTGCCAAGAAGGCTGTTTCACATCCATTTTTTTTGGCCGGGAGAGAGAGCATCTAGCTAGGGAGAGAAAGGAAGAGACGAGAGGAGAGAGATGGCCACTGCTTATGCTCCCATGGCGAGCCAGCTGATGAAGAGCAGCTTGGTGTGCTCCAAGCCGAGGGGGCTGTCTGGTGCTTCGCTGACAAGGAGGCCCCGCTTCACAGTCAAGGCCATCCAGTCTGAGAAGGTCAGTAGAGCTAGCTAGACTGCTAAAGAGCATTGAGAGATTTCCCATTTCGCTTCATCAAAGCTAGTGTAAAACTTGCATGTTTCTCAAGAACAAGCTCTGTTAATTAAAATCAGATGGTAGATTTCAGACATAATCGTTTTTCATTTTGTTGTATTTTTATTGCTCTGTTCACTAGTTTATTTCCTCAATTAGCAATATAATATTGAATTGTTGTAATCCCTCTGTAGATTAGACGCATCGTAGTACTATGAAATGTGAAAAATTTCAAAGATGAAGGGAGTAATAAGTTTGCCTGCATAGTACATCCTTAAACTTTTTGCCATCGTTATTTCGATCACAAATCCCCTTTTTGGGAGAGAGGGTTGGATTATTAGCATGACGATTTTAGAAGATATAGTTACACAAATTTAGCCAAAATTGGATGCATTAATTTATAGTTAACTTTGTATAAGTTCTAGCTATATGATAAGTGTAAACCATAAGTCCATAATATATGCAAGAAACAAGAGCATACGTTTTCTAGAGCTTAATTAAATAGCTTTATTTGTGTGAGCGTGACTATATCGGCGTCTGTAGGCCGGATACATCTTGACGCAGAAGCCGAATTGAAATATAGTATTATCTAAAAGAAATATATATGGTGGTGTGTATTTACACGTGTCTACTTCTATGGAACGATAAATGAAACATTTACTCTCTTCGTCTCATATTACCTGTCGTTTTAGATAATTTAGCATAGATTAAGGTTTGAGGAAAAAAAATATAATACTCCTAATTAAATATTGTATAGTTGGATGTAGGAGGATGGTTAAGGGTAGAAAAGATAGAAATTTGAATTAGAAGTGATTGATGGGACAAGTAATAATTCTTTATGATAACCATTTTGAGACAGAGGGAGTATGAATCCTAAAGAATAAATTGGGACAGAGGGAGTATCTGATATGTGTGATTCTTGTGGCGTTGTACACAGCCAACGTACCAGGTGGTGCAGCCCATCAATGGCGACCCCTTCATCGGCAGCCTGGAGACGCCGGTGACCTCCAGCCCGCTGGTCGCCTGGTACCTCTCCAACCTCCCGGCGTACCGCACCGCCGTCAGCCCGCTGCTCCGCGGCATCGAGGTCGGCCTCGCCCACGGCTACCTCCTCGTCGGGCCCTTCGCGCTCACCGGCCCGCTCCGCAACACGCCGGTGCACGGCCAGGCCGGCGCCCTCGGCGCCGCAGGCCTCGTCGCCATCCTCAGCGTCTGCCTCACCATGTACGGCGTCGCCTCCTTCGGCGAGGGCGAGCCGTCCACGGCGCCGACGCTGACGCTCACCGGCCGCAAGAAGGAGGCCGACAAGCTGCAGACCGCCGACGGCTGGGCCAAGTTCACCGGCGGCTTCTTCTTCGGCGGCATCTCCGGCGTCCTCTGGGCCTACTTCCTCCTCTACGTGCTCGACCTCCCGTACTTCTTCAAGTAGATCTTTTGTTTGTAAGTGCATGACCGGGTGATGCATGTGTAGATCGATCGATGATGGAACATGTGTGTGTTCATGTGGTGGCTGATTTGAGTGCCTTCTACTTGTATAAATGAAATGCATCTGCACAAGGGCACAAACAGGCTGCCTGCATGGATATATGGATGGTGTGCTGTTGTAACTTGGGAGTGTTACTTTCTTACTTTGCAGATAATTTAAAATGGAAAGAAAAAGTTTTAACAATGATAATTAATCAGTTTGTTGTAATTATATTAGTTAATTTGCAAGGGCGAGAATCAACAACAGTTTTTTTTAAAACTAAACCGGTAGGAGTACTTCGAGAACAAAATGACACAGAGTATTCATGTATCACAACTAAATCGTTCATACTCTCAATATTAAATAATACAGTGGCGGATCTAGAAATTTTTTTTTACCTAGACAAATCTAATAAGATATAAGCATACATATAAAATCTATACAATATATATATATATATATATATATAAAATTTAATTTGTAATTGAGTAGACTAAAATCAACGTGAAAGGTTATATCGATTAATGTAGCATGAGAGACTAGTATATTCTTTTGCATTAGCCTTAACTACTTTGCTAATTGCATTGTTAATTAAGCAGGGTACGTGCTAGCACAGCGGGCGGAGCCCAGGCACTTGCCCATGGTGGCCGGGCCTTGGCTCCGACCTTGAAATAATATAGTATATGCTATATATTCAACAGTAATATGCAGCAGCTGCCATTCTTACCAAAACTAAGATTTCTAGTCTGGAAATTGCTACACATCCGACTGGGGTGTACGACTTAGCATCTGACCAGTACTTACCTGCTCCTTGCTCTGACCCACATGGAGAGAAGCTGGCTCGTTGGAGTAAATTGATTGGCAGATACGGCAGCGTCGGACAGAAGTCGAACAACAGGGTCGGATGTATAGCAGTAGTCTTCCAGTCTTCGGCTTGTAGTACTAATTGTAGGAAAAGCGCCAGGATGTGATAGATGAAGTTTCAAAACACACAAGTGATGACAAGCCTCACCAACATAAAACAGTCAACCATAGTAGCCTATAAAAATGAGGAAAAATGAGAAAAAAAAAACATCCCATTTATATAAGAAATGGTTGATTGCACGATAGTAATAAATTTATACATTACATTTTATATTGTGATCTTGAGAATTAAAGAGCGTATATAAGCATCATTCTGCAGGGGAATCCCAAGGACAAAGATATACTCCCCCACGTACTTCAGTGCTGACCAGTGTAATTTTATTTAGACTAATAATTTTTTTAATAGACGATGTTTTGGTGAATGCAAGTAGTATAGTTATATGTAGCATGCTAGACACTTTAATAATAAAATATTTTTAAGATATTAGTAATATTTTTCCAAAGAAAAAAGAGACCAAGCGCGCGGCCGGTTAAATTTGGTAGTGAATAGTATCCAGTACGTGTCAAGTTTATATGACTGCATAATGATTATACTGATACACTATTGATAAAATGCTAAAACTCAGAGAGTTTGATCCTTGTCGATAGAATTCAGTGTAAGTTTTCTACCAATGCAGCGGAAGATGATATGATGTCATTTCTCTTATCGATACAGGCTATTGGTAGAAACTAACTTAGCAAGAACCATCTGATCATCTGATCCGACAGTAATCTTGCACCCAAGGTTCGGGCTGCTTGTGCATGAATTTTATAAGCTTTCCACAGAATTTAGTTTAAATAATTAGAAAATCCTATAAAACTCCTCCGCTTCAGGAGCGGAGCCAGGATTTTAGGTCGGTGGTATCATTCGTCAACTCTAATTGATGACCACGGTTTAAATGAAACAATAATACATATGGAAAATACAAAAAATTCCTCACAATAGTGGTTGCTCAGCATATGTTCACCTAATCACTCAAGAAAACTTATAATGCATGAACTTTATTTAGCCATTATGCATAGTCTCGTTGAATTAGCCGTTGTGCATGGTCAAATAACTATAAATTATAGTTTGCTAGTAGTTAATTTATTGCTGTGTTGTCAAGTTATCCATGTCCACATAAGCTAACTTGTCTAACGAAAGTGTAAAATTATTCACACGCTGGTGTAACAAAGCAAGATTTACTAGTGCCATTCATTGGAAAATTAGGAGGATACCTAGATTAATATGGATGTCATTGGTGTCCTATGACACCACTCTTTGTATACTAGCTGGGCCACTGCTCCGCTTCAAAGGGGACTTTACCTAGGACTTGCCGTATAGTAGTATATAGCTCGGTTAGGAGTTGAGATGCCACCGATGGAAGAATGGAGGCTGATGAGAAAAGCCAGCTAGGGTGGGAGGGAGTAAAGAAGAGTACAGCAATCTATGGTTAAAAAAAAAAAAGAAAAAAAAAGAGCACAGCGATCTCTTGCGGTGAGACGACCGTAAATTGAGCCAAAAATTGATCATGTGCCATAGGGCCCGGGGCTCAAGCCCACAGCTTCTTGCCCCCTTGGGCACCTCCATCCTCTAGCCCACATTATATTGCTAGGGCCAGATGGCCACACGTGGGCCTCACATCCTGGATGGGCTCTATAGGATCTAAAATCTAGAAGGAATAAGTTCACTTTAGGTCGCTCAACTGTTGTCGAGTTTGACTGAGTCGTAATACCATATATGACGTGTCCCTCAACTCTCCAAACTAGTGCAAATAAGGTCCCAACACAGTTTAGATGACGGTTTTCGCTGATGTGGTGCCTACATCGCGCTTAGAGTAAAAAAAAAAACATGGGACCCACATGTCAGTGAGTATTTGGTAAAAAAATAAAAGCATTACAATGGAACCCACATCATCACTCTATCTAGGGGTGGCAATTTCCCCGTTGGGGCCGGGGAGCCGGCAGGGACCAGCCATATGGGGCTGGGGGTGAGGGGAAATTCTCACCACGGGTGATGAGTGGGGCTGAGGCCCCACAAAAATGCGGGGGTGGGGGCGGGGATGGGAGTTGACCCGCGGCGCTCCAAAGATATGAGTTACAAATCAAAAGATAGTACATTCTAAGGCCCAAACGACCCATTAGGTGAAGGACTATATCGGCAAAACCCTAATTTTTCCCAAATCCCTACCAAGCCACCACTCTCTCCTCTCTGACTCTCACGTCTCTCCCTCCTAGTGCGCCGTCCCAACCAGCCTGCCTCTTCGCACGCCATTCCTAGCTGTCACCGCCCCGACACGGCATCGCCTCTTCGCCGCCGCCTCGTCACAGCATGCTGCCACCAACTGCCGCCGCCTCCTCATGGTCCACTGCCCCCGGCCAGCGTCGCCTCCTTGTAGCGTGCTACTCCTAGCTGACGCCGCCCCAGGCCGGCGCCGCCTAGTGGCCACCGTCCTCAGCCGTAGACACCTTGTCACCGTCCTCAACCGTCACCTCGTCGCGGCACGCCACCTCCAGCAGCCACAATAGGTGCATCGCAGTTGTTGGCCATCCGGGTGGTGCAGGGGCCCGCTCACCCGCTGGGTCCCCTGTGGGGGTGAGGGCGGGTGAGGTTTTCCACCCGTTGTCCAACCTAACCCCGCCTCGCCCCTCTGCCACCCCTAACTCTCTCTCCCCACTTCTCTAGTTTCATTATTCTCTCTTTCCTCTCTTCTCTCCTTTCCTTATTCTCTCTTTCTCTCTTCTCTCTCGCGTGTGCAAGCATCGCGATAGCCTGACGGAGCTCGGCGATGGCTAGGGATGGGTCCGGGGAGGCCACCTTGTCCTAAAGCCGGTGGCAGTGAGGTGGAAGCGATGGTGAGGCGTCGTGCGCCAGCCATGCACCAGACCTTTATCTGCTCCCTCCCCTCGCACCGTCTCATAACCCCGCTTCTGAGCTCCGCCTCACCAATGGTGTCTTCCTCAACTACAACGGAAACTTCGGTCCTACCTCCGACTTCATCCTCTTCGTCTTCGAGCGCAACAGCTCCCTCAACCTCTACCTCTCCATTGTTCTCCCACCGCGAGGCGCTCGAGGCGGCATCGTTGCCAGTGCCACCTCTCTCGCAGTTGTAGCCGAGCCAATCCAACAAACTCGCGTCAAACCAACAGCGGCGTGGCGAAGCTGCAGCACGCCACTGCGGCGGTGGCAACGGCGGCGACATGCGTGTCGAGCCCGCCAGCCAAGCGCGACGCGGAGTCCTCCACCTCGTCCCCTTTCTTGGTCTCCTCATAGGAAGGATGGGGCATCGCGTTCGTCATGCACTGTGCTACTCCTCCACCAGAGGTACCGCCTTCCATCGCCGGTCCGGTCGTTCCTGGCACTGGAGGACCCTAGGTCGCTGACCGCCTCAGCGTCCTACCAGATCCTGGTCATCGTCATTACCTGCCCCTCACCGACAAAGAGAGAAAAGAGGAAGGGAGAGGAGAAAAAAAAAGAGAGAGAGGTGATGACATGGGTCCCACTGCATTTTTGTTATTTTTAACCAAACACTCATTAACATGTGGGTCCCACGGTTCATTCTGACTTTAAGCGCCACATCTGCCGAAACCGCTATCCAAACTGCCTTGAGACCTTATTTGCACTAGTTTTGGGAATTGAAGGACACGTCATATGTGGTATTTTGGTTCAGAGATGAATTTTAGACTCAGCGACACAGGAGGGACCTATAGTGAACTTATTTTTATTGAGAAACACCACTATTCATTATGGGCCAAATACCCCGCTCTCTTCAGCCCATTCCTTCTTTTCTTTCCTACGGGCCCAAATCATCTTTCCTTTCTACCGGCCCAAATTAGTACGGCACCATGTAGTAGTGATGTAGGTAGAACCATGCGTACATAGCCAGCATCCATTCATAGACATGGTAATTGGGCTTACCATCGAGGTACAGCAATGGTAACTTTGCTTAACTCCATCAATTTTTTTTCAAAAAATAAAAATTAATCTGAATTTTTATAAACTTTACCCGGGTTTTCACAGTTTGTGGTTACCTTTCTTAACGCTAGGACAGTAAACCATACAACAAAGTCATTCGTGCTCTCTATTAGAGCATGTACAATAGCAGACTATTAGCCAGCTATAAACATATTTTAATGAGATAAAAGATGAGAGAGAAGAGCTACGGGCTACAAATATATAGCCAGCTGCAGCACGGACTCCAAGACGCAATGTGTGTATGACATGTGTGACCAGGTATTAATAGTATAGTAAGCAACTATTGTATGAATTAACTATTACATTAGCTATAGATGAATTGAAGCTAGTAGCGGGCCATACTATTAAACTT